TATTCAACATCAGTGTTGGAGCTTTTGTTGTGGAACCCAACAAGTTTATTATAGCAGCACACTCATGCCCGTGACTTGACTTTGCTTATATAAACTTGTTGAAGTGACTTCTAATGTGTGTGCATTAACCTGTGTGTATTCCACCAGTATCATAATGAAACCCACCCTTCATTTCAGATAAATCCAATGACCTGCTTTAAACCAAATGACGATAATTACACGTGGCAGTGCTAACGAGTTTTGCTACACTTCCAAAGAGACAAAGAGTGCGGTGGGGGCACAGGAGAGAAAAGACAAGATTTTCTGGAAGGAGAAAGAGGGAAAAAAAAAAAAAAAGGCCTAAATATGTGTGAAATTAACGCTGCATCATTTGGCTTTCATCTCAGAGGACACATCTGGGGCACCAATGGAGGAGAAAGCTCTGCAGCTTCAGCAAAGCATTACAGCAGATTAATCCGCTCACAGCACCACACAGGGCTATTGTCAGTGAGGTCACAGGGAATAAAGGAAGTAAATAAAAGTTGTCCCACCGTCGCTGACATTTCTAGAGCTATTTTAAGCTTATGGATGAATTAATAAACATGAACCTTAATGTAAAAATCATCCAGTAATTGTAAAGCAGGTTAACCTGCTTACTTTACACATTATTTCCGTAGTTTTCGTAATAGTGACATCCAGTAAATTGGACTTGAGACCTGCAGACTCAGCTCCATGTAATAATAAATGATATTTAAATAAAATGCTCAATGCACAAACACTCAATCTGAAATCACAGCAGACAAACGGACGAGAGGACATGTTTGGTTTCATTAGCAAACATTTATTCATATTTTTTTTAGACAATGCACAATTTGTCGTCTACTCTGATCAACGTGCTACAAATACTCAGCGTGAATGCTAGCTTCGGCTGTCTTTAAGTAATTAGTACTCTGACATATTTAACAGTTACACAAAATCTTCTTCGTTTTTGAACTGAACCGATGACAAATCCATTTTGATTCTTCTTTTTTTTTTCTCGCTCCACAGAATCCATACAGCTGCTCACAGTATCGGAAAACATTAATTATTCATCCAGGGACAACACAACGGTCTACACATGCAGAGAGCATCCATTCACAGTTTTACCCATTGGATCTACGTTTCTACCTATATGGCACGTTTCACAGGCCTCTGGGACCGATGTAGATAAATCAGTCAAAACTATGCCATAGAAGTATTCATGTTTGTTCCTTTATGTCCAATATATATATTCAATATTTTATCAGTGTTGATCTAAAGAGGTCATTTGTCACATCGTTTTCATTTGTAAAGATGGCCATGACCTGGTGGCATCACACAGCTGGTCCACATATATCATGTAAGTCACCCTCTCTCTATAAAGTCTCTATTGCTGGATGCATTTCACATTTTAAATCCACTTTGGTAGACTGTCGTAGCAAATGAACTGTTGTAGTTAATTTGTATGAGTTCTATGTGCATGTCAATGTCTGATTCCATTATGCTCCATCTTGTCCAAAATGGAAAATACATAAACAGGCCAAGATTGCTGAGAACAACAGTCAGACTCTGTGGTACTAAAACTGAATCTCATTTACTGGTAATGGGACCATTTGGGAGAAGGCTTTAGCAGTTCTGTTGGTGCCATGTTGTACTTAAGCATTTATTTTTTGTTTTTTATTGTGGTTGGCACGTACAAATTCACATAGAACGGAATTCAGTAGTTTATATTTTCCTTTAACGTCGTATGTTGGCAATGGTAAGTGTGAGTGAGTTCTCTCATGGTTCCTATTTTGGCATTTTGAGGTCAGGCAGAACATCATAGTGGTCACAAGAAATTATTCTAAGGTGCAGCTTAAAACAAAATCTTAAACACGAGTGCTTGAAGCACTGGAGCCGTCGTCACTTGAGGGTTTAAATAAGACAAAAGATCGTATTTAAAATATGCAGTCTACCTGGATAACTTTAAAAATATATATTTAGTTTTTGATTGATTGTGTTTAGATTCGAGCCACAGTTATTTAATTTAGGTTTCTACAATTATGTACACGTATTAAATTAATGAAATGCGGAGAGAGTGTCAGCTTCGTTTAAGTGAACAAAAACAAAACAAAACCAGCCTGTGGTCATGACTTGAAGGGGCAACAGATTGAAAAGAAAGATTGTCATATCCACAGAAAACAAGAACATCCTGTTTAACACTTCTGTAAATTCTAAATAAAAGCACATTTATGATACAAATCTTGTGATACACACCATGAAAAACTCATCATGCAAATGTCACCGGGGTAAAGAATAAATCATGTACAATATAATGCAGAGTTGCTGTACAAACACTGATGATTTATATTCTTCTATTATAAAATCTAGCTTTGGCAAATCTTCTCACATACTCACTCTGCTAGTTTCAAAGTACAGGTGGTGCCAATACTAGAGCAAATTTCATTTATATCCAGTGTCTGTTAGCACACAGATACAAACTAATGATATGCACCATAATGTAAACAACACAGTTTGTAATTTCAACACTAATAAACAGTCCTCTTTTAGCTTTTCCCAACAGTTGCTATATAAAAAACATACTCATTTGAAACTTTTTTTATTATTACAATGAACAAAAAACCAAATAGTTTCTGGGAGAACTGGCGGCCTCTACTGGCTCGGTATTGGATACGTTTGGGTTGGGTTTGGTAGAAAATCTGCTGGTTGTTTTGTGCCACAAACAGAAATCATGGCACAAAACTTGATGACGGTGCTGCTCTTCCAGGGAGTGGGAGGCCCAGCACACCACCTGTCACATGCTAAGCCACAGATGCAAACAGAGCTTCATTTTATGATGATACTTATACTGAGGTATTACAAATCGACAACACTATTGTATTGTATATTGTTGAAAAATGCTCCATATAGCACCTGGAAATGTAGGCTCGGCCCAGAGCACAGTGCTTTACAGCATTCTACTGCTACATTTTTCTAACAAAAAGATGATTCATGAAACTGGAATAGTTTGTAAAACATGTTTGTTTGCTATCTGAACAAAGGTTGGAAGCTCTCGAGCGCACATTAAGCGCATTGATTATTTTCGCTTTGCTTCTTTTGTAGTGTGTTTGGTAGGTTTAGGCAGATAGCTGTGAAGGTTCGCTATGATCATACCTTTAGCTAATTCAGAACACTTTGCCATTCTCGTGGATTAATCAACTGGACCTGCTTGAGTTCCTTGAAGACGTTCCACCTCCATCCAAGAGGCTTCATCAGCTCTGACTGACTAGTTGGGAGTTCCACATACTGATATCCTGAAGGAGACATTAACACCTGAGTTTGGGTTTCAATTGGGGGTTTGTTGCTCCTCCCCCTCGTTAGTGCTCCCCCTGACACAAAGGGATTGTTAGGGTCTTTGTGGCTAGGTGTGGATGTGGTTTCATCTTCCTGGGGAGAGATCTTAGGACTGAAGGTGAGAGGTGATGCCTCAGACCTCCACCTCTGCTGAGGGATGGTCTTTCCAGTTAGATGGCTTCTTTCACTCCTCTCTCAAACCATCTGTCCTCCTTGGCCAAAATCTGTACATTGTTGTCTTTAAATGAGCGTCCTTTGTCCTTGAGATGCAGGTGGATGCTGAGTCCTGTCCCAGTTGAAACCGAAACTCAGGTGTTAATGGCTCCTTCAGGATATCAGTATGTGGAACTCCCAGCTAGTCAGTCAGAGCTGATGAAGCCTCTTGGATGAGAGGTGGAATGAAGTCCAGGTGCTACCATTAATCTACGAGAACAACCACGACCTGGAGAATCTTCACAGACAACACCTTGCCATGTATTCTGGGGCCATAACAAGGCACCTTGCATTGGAAATGTCTGTAAATTCCCCCCCAGAGTTTGAAAGTAAACTCATTTTAACTGCAGATTATTATCATGTTAATTAGTATAATCTTGACCTTGTCTCAGTTTATCTCTCCGTCAGATTCGATGGATGGATTCCCTTGCCCATCCATGATTTAGAAATACTTGCCAGTCGCATAGCCTTATCAATGCACAAAAATGCATAGACTTCTATTTTGGCATTCTGGGTGACCCCAAAATTACCACCTCGCTTTGTGATGTTGTTCTTTAGAAAGCCACAAAGACAGTTTTTTTTATCCAGACTTGAGACCTGCAAAAAATGGTCAGGAAACTTAAGGTCAATTATTAAATGTTCTAATATTTCATGGTAAAAATATTCCACTGCTTTGCTGCTTTTTTGTGCAATAAGTATGATACTGGCATGGATGTCCAAATATAAGTACAGAATATAAAGATCGGGAGTTTACAGTATACAAGGTACAGTAAACGCTATTTTCAGTGCAAGTCACAGCATCTTTGACTTCGTAGCTACAGAAGGAATGCTAAGCACACTTATGGTTCAAAACAGTATTCTGTTGAATGTGTGATATCTGTACAGAAAAGAGACAAAATAGAAAACATATCTCTGTTACATATTAATGTTATAGTCGTGACTCTTTGTAAAATAATTCATTCTTTTTCTATTCGGATCGCACGTTGTATATTGTATAGTATGTAAATAGTATTTTCTGGCGTAGCACCCTTTTCAAATATACACAGTATTTACAGTGCAGGGAAGTAAACATTGGTTTCACAGCTATCATACAGGTGTTTTGCAGTAGTTTGCTACAGTTTGAATGTTACTTGTTTTTTCTTTATATGGAGGTTTTTATCCAAAACGTATAGGACTCTAAAAAAAGGTTCTACTCTCCTGAAACCACCAGAACAGCATCGACGTTACAATAGGGCTTCTTTTGGAGTGACCACAAAAGTACACAGTGATTAATTATACAACACTGAAAAGGTTGTGCTTTAGTGTAAACACATACAAAAAATCATGCTCAACAAAAGTTGTTATGATATAAACACTGACAGGTAATCATTACTCTTGTCACAGATATGGGGTTTTTCTGAAAATCCAGCTTGCATTGATAGCTACATATTCTCACAAGTTTCCAGTCAGTTTGCATGTTAGTCCTTGAAAACAGGAGTAATGGACGTTCCCTTGTAGAAAATGTTCCGAGTGTTATCGGGGCTGTTGGCTCTCTCGGGAATCAAGATAATATTATTGCCTTTTCTTCGCAGTGTGGACTCACGGCTGGAGGCGACGGATGGGGTTTCTGAAGCAGTCTCTCCACCCCCACCTCCACCTCCCCCACCGCTGCCTCCGCCAGATCCAGAACCGCTCCCATCGCCTGGAGTGACCCTTATGGTGGAGAGCCCCTGTGGGTGGAGCCTTTGCTCTGACTGGCTGGTGTTCTGGGTGTGGACAGTAACCATTGGCGTGGTGCTGTCAGTGGCAGTGGTAGTAACAACGTGATTGGCACGCTTCCTGTCAATCGAACCTTCGCGTATTGAATCTGAACTTTCTGAATCTCTGTTTAGATCATTGAGGTCAAACGACTGCCTCAAACTTCCACCTCCTCCACCTGATCCTCCTCCAACTCCACTAGTCCCTGCACCTCCACCGCCTCCAGTGCCGTGATCAAGGGACCTCCACCTCCATGATCCACTTCCATCTGTAGACGGAGCTTGGATTACTGGTCTGTTGTTCTCAGGGTGGGCCTCGACTCTAACAATTGCTCCAGTGCTCCCTGAAATACTGCCTGTGGTGCTGCCCAGCGAGCTGGGCCCTGTGGTGCTGTTGGGGTCGTGATCAGTTAGTGTCCTGTAGCGTGCAGAGGCCTGGCAACTCCCGGTGGTGCTGCAGCCGATGCTGCTCTCATCTAAGCTCTTAGAATGGGTCTGTAGTAGCCCCTGTTGCTTGGACATAGCAATCACTTGCAGGATTCGTGGCTGGGTGTTCTGCCCATTTTCATTAGTCCTACAAGCTACACTTTTCTCTGCTGCCCTTTGCCAGTTAGCCTGAACTGTGTTGTTTACTGCTGACATCTCCTCACTTCCTCCTCCACCCACCGTCCTCTGGGGCATGGTGTTGTAATTCTCATGCGCTTCCTCTGGTATGTGAACAAGCTGTGAAGAACCAGGTCGAGATTGCATGGATATCCGGGCCCCTCCAGTAATACCACTGCAGTTACTGGGCAGGGTGGTACTAGCACCTGTGGCCAGTTTGGACATGTACGCATGGGCATCAAAACCCCCATTCAAGCCCATGGCCAGTGGCTCAGAGCTGGATCGAAGCTCCATGCTGCCGTGGTGGTGTGGATGTTGGGAGGACTGACCGGATGACGAGTCGACAGATGAGGAGAAGGAGTCTGGGACCTGCAGGGAGCACTTGTGGTTGTTGTTCTTACTCTTCCACTGAGAGAGAAGCTGCTTTGAGCGGCTAGAGTCCATTGAGGCATGGTGGAGGGTGGCAGCATGGCGTCTGGCTGCTTCTTCATACGCCGCCATGGCCTGGGGGGTGTGGACCCGGGGAAGGGTGTGGCTAAAGGTCACAAATGCATCTTTGCTCTGGGGGCTGCGGGGGGAAATCACTTCCACATCTGCGCTGGATCGTTTCAGGCTGTCATCAGGCCTCTGCTGCTGAAGGCCTCGGTGCAGCAGGCCCTCGGAGTGGGAGGTGGGTATGGCAGACTCCGCAGACATACTGGCTTTCATTTGCAGGTGGTGGAGTACAGCCTCCTGGCTTATATGGGGCAACGAGCAAGGGGGGCGGTGTACAAGTGGAGGTGGACTGCTGCTTGGCTCCTCACTAGACTGAAAATTTCCAACTGCATACAATCCCTGGCAACACAGGAAACCGAGAACCAATATTTACAACACTTGAATCACAATGCGTCTTTTGTCTGATACCCTCATGAGCTGTTTGATCCCCTGACCTTTAATTTAGTCCCACCTGCAGGCTGACATTTTCAGTTCTGGACATCTGTTGAGTGATTTGACATTTGGCACTGACATCTGTTACATTTAAAATCATTAATTATTGTAATATTTGGCAAACATGGCGATTCATTTTCCACTTTTCTAGCAGTGCCATGTTCAAGATGTCGAATGTTTGGTTTATGACCAAAGAGCTCCTAAACAACATTCCTATCAGCCTCGGTGCTAATTAGCAAATGTACATATGGAAACATGCTAAGCTAATATGTTGAACATGGTAAACACTACTGTCTGAAGATGTTAGCATTACAGAACGTTAGCATGACAAAACTGGCTTAGCTGTAGAACAGTTGGAGTTGAACAGTTGGTTCATGGCCTGGCACAGTTGGAATTTACCTTCATTTTCTTCTGTACCTTTATGCACCTGCCCCTTTATCCTCTGCACTAACACTGCCAGCTGACAAATGATTAATTAGCCAAACATACCCAAACTAACAAAACCCAACTTAAAATAGATCATGAGCCGGTTTTCCAACTGCATACATAGGAACTGAAGAGCAAAGTTAGGTTTTGACTGAAAACATCTAATGAGCCATGTGACACAGATTTAAGCTTTCGTGCAGGACTTCTGCTTTAACCAAGAATGGCCAAAACAGCATCAGAGAAAGAAAGAATCTCCAGAACATAGAATGTATACAGAAGATGGCCCCATGCTGGCTGTAATACATAATGCAGGTTTGGGGCACTTTCTCTTTTCAGACCCAGATGTACATCTTTTGTACACAGCACATGCTCCAGACAGCCCTTCTGTACAGAAAAAAAACATTGGAAGGGAGGCTACAAATAGGAATGACCCTTACCAGGTAGACAGCAATCGCTCCTCCAAGCAGGAAGCCCAAGTAGACGTCAGCGGCGTGGTTTTTGTACTGAATAATCCTGGTCAAACCACAAATTATGGCACTGATAATAAAGGAGAAGACCAGCAGGGGCTTCAGTAGCTTAGATGAGTCCGTCAGAGTGCTGTTGAAGTACATCTGTCAACACATGACACACGCTGATTTATTTTCTATTGTCCTTAGGATTACTGCTTCGTGAAAAAACAGTGTGCGATTCCGTCAACTCTCCCAGGAATCACTCATTTGAACTCAATTTAATACCAAACACAGAGAATAATGGTCACCCTGTTTGGTCTTGTCAAGGAAATATTCTTCTGTAAGTGTATGAGGGAGAACATTTGGTGCAAACAACCTGAGCTGTGGTGCGATCACATGTGGCTGCACTGTGCCTGTTCACATCAACGTGATTATGCATGGTCAATACATCGTGTTCCTAACCATCCCCTACTTGCTAGATTCGGATCCCTGTGAATTCCACCTCGGTGCTTGACATAACCGGACTCCCAAGGAGTGTTTAAAGTTTTGCTGATATTTTAGGAGCCCTGTGCTGCTGCACGAGGGCGTTACTTTGACAGAGATGGCACCAAAATTTAAATCGAGTATGGCTGTTTGTGTCCATCTGGTGTTCGATGCTGGAAAGGTAGCAAACAGGGAGAGTTTCCCAGTTGCCAGCTTGGTGACAGCTCGGAAATGTGCAGAAACTCACTGAGCTCCATAAAGCTGTGAGAACCTGTAGGTTCAACTAATTCTCAATTCATCACTACAAGCAACCCTTTAACACGGTTGCATTGTTTAATGTGTCCATATGAGAATGCATCAAATACTGACATTTGTAAAACATCAGCTACCACTTCTTGAACCAACCAAGTAGGCGCCATTACAACATCTTTTATTTAGACAAAATATATGTTTGCTCTGCAAAGTTATGTTCTGATACAACTTAACTGCATTCTCAAATATGTTTTAAAGGGGTTATAATTTTGCTTTGAAATAAATGTAATTTGCAACCTGATGTGCACCAAAGTCTGTGTTAGAAGGTCGTAATGGTGGAATAAAGGTTTTAATCCAGAAGACCAGACAGATGAAAGACCATCCACCTCAGAATTAGGTTTAGTTTTCTGTTGTTTACTTTTGGTTTTCACTTCCTTTTGTGTTAGGTTTAGTTTTAAAACTATGTGGTGAGGTTTATTAACATATCTAGCTTTGTTGGACACATTTACATGGTAAATGCTTGGTTAAGGTTAGGCACCAAAATCACTTGGTTATGGTTTGGAAAAACATCATTGTTGGGGTTAAAATCGTCCATTTTCTAGGGTGTCAAGTCCTGCCCCTTTTAATATATGATTGGTTGCCTGAAAAGGGATGACAGTGGAGCACGAACATATACAGTAAATATATGTTAATTAGAAATATAATTTGTGATATGTTATAAAAACAATAAAGCAGAAAATTGTTTTCAGTGTTAGCCGTCAGATTGATGTTTATTTCTTAGGTCTTCAAAGTGGATGTTTTAGAGAACTGTAGAGGGAGAAGGAGCTTGTGTGTTACTCACCGAAACATAAACAGCAGCAAAGGATGCGAGAGTTGCGTGCTGCGATGGGAAAGATTTTCTGCAAGAAATGAAATAACAAAATAAGTTCACATCCGTGTAGGAGACACAGAAAAGCAGCAACATAATGAGATTTCTCAAACACCAAGATACAAAACCAGTTGGTTGTTACGGGCTTAATGACTGTACCAACGTAGACGCCTCATTTCATCTCCTTCTGCCTCATTCTTACATCGTAGGGATGTCTTTACCTACCGAGCCAAGTACCAAAAAACATGTATGTCTGATCTACTGTTACATCCAGCAATGCAGCACTAAGAGCTGGATTGTGTGCTACAGAAGGAAAATGAACCAGTGGCCCAGTTTCTTACTGAGCTCCATCCCATTGACCTACTTCAGACAACTCCCGATATTCACTCCTCCAACCAGCCTCTGACTCTGTATGTGTGCGAATGAGCATGCCTCGGCGCGTTCATGCAGTTGTATGCATCTTTGTGTGTGTATGTGTGCTTCCATCTTTAAAAAAAAGCATTTACAACATCTGTGGAGTCATAAAAATTTAATTTGCATATGAAAACTGATAGCACTGCTTCTTAATGTCTTGACCCACTTTCAGTTCTGAACTAACCAACACGAGCACATTTGTGTGTATTCCTATTCATCTGTTTAGACGTAATATTATTATTACTATGCATTGTATTTATTTTATTGTAACGCTCTTCTTCTTGCTAGAAGAAACATATAATCTATATTTATTGATATTAAAGATTAGGTACATCATTTTTCAAGTCTGTCTTTTCTGAAGAAGAAGACGAAGAAGAATACAGAAAGCCCGACCCATACGTTGACAAGGTTGGTTTTGAATTGGGGTTTTTTGAGACTATTATCATCAGACTTGAACTTGGACTGCCTCTTGGACAGCAGACAGACACCCTCTCTACTTTAAGGTTAGGCTTAAAACGTTCCTCTTTGATAAAGCTGATAGTGAGAGCTGCTCAGGATCACCTGAACTGTCCCTTGGTTATGCTGCTCTGGGTTTGTCCTGCCGGGGGATTCCCATGATGCACTGGGCTCTCTCCTTTCTCTTCTTCCATACATTTATATATATCACCATGACATGTCACTAACTCTGTGCTTGTTCTCTCTGCAGACGTCTCTGATCTGCAGGTTCTGGCCTCAATGACCTCCAAAATGTTTGTTGTTCTGTTGTACTGTTTATCTGCTCTTCATCTGCTATCCTCTTACTGCTTTCGTGCTGAACTGAATCTGTCCAACCTTTCGCTTAGTAGTTGGTTCTATGCCTTAAGAAAGCACGGAGGAACTGTGGCTGCCCCGGCCGGGCCTTTATCTAGAAAACACAGCACCACTACAAATAGCGAAGAAAGGGAGAACACTGTCACACTACATGTAGCTGAAAAACTCTAACCCAGCAACACTCTGTGACAAAAACCGGTTCACCCGAAGGACAATTTATATCGTACATGCGGTCCAATCCAGAGCAGAGTGCCCACAGGAGAGACTAAACAACAGCTTCACAAGCGGATGGCTCAACACAGGAGAGCAACACCTGAGGACAAGACTCAGGAGGAGGACGGCGATGTATGGTGGTTTCAGAGAGGAGTCAGGAAGCCATCTATGTCAAACTGGATCAGCGACACCACCGACCAAGCACCTATCAGGTCTCTCCACAGAAGGTTTCACCATCATTACCCACTTGAGTCACTCCTGACAGGATTCATATTCCTGGTTGTGTAAACTGTGATCGCTGTCACTGCTGGACCTGGTTTCACAGCTTGAGTCATGTGTGTCCTGGTTGTTAACCTGTTCA